CAGAGCCCAGCTCCTCCAGCACAGCACCAGAAAAGGGGGATGTGGTGTGAAATCTCCCTGTTTGGCAGGATATCAATGTCAAACTCAGCCCTCCCTAAAAACCTCCCTAGTACTGTATATTTGCAAAAGAAGAGTGTCACAAAGTTGAAAACAGCAATGGAGTAGGTAGTGTTTCATTTTGGTCATGTTGGGAATGGTCAGTCCTTTGGACTGTGGGTTTAGCTACCATTTGCCTTTAACTGGATGGCAGAGCTGCAGCAGTTTTAGAATGGCAGGTTTGTACTTCTGCATGGAGCTGTCTGACTTTCATGCACACACAACATATATGTTTTCACAGATAAAAGTAAGGAGAGTAATCTGATTGTCCAGTGTGGTTGTTTGGCTGGAGGAGGAGGAGGAGGAGAGAAGCAGGAGGGTGGATCGATGACACATGACTGCTGAGATCTTCTCCCTTGTGTGGAAGGTTTATGGCTGCAGCACAGGCTATTCTGAGACCCCTTATATGGTTTGGATTTATTTTTAATAACCTTTGTCTTTGTGTGTTTTTATATTACATTACCTTGCTGTAAAATTTTTTTGTGGGAAAGAAATAATCCATACTCCATCCCAGACCTGTCTTGCTCTGCTACGCTAAGCGTGTCCTGAGAATATTTTAAGACAGTTAAGAAATCTGTGATATAAAAGCAGAAAACACACCACCACCTTCAAACCCTTTCACTGTCTCATAGCCTTAGAGGCACAAGGACTCCTTTGGGAAGCAAAGCAGATGGAATTTAATTGGGAGGGGAAAGTAACTGGATGCAGTACTTAATGTAGGACTTCTTTACTCTGCCATTATCTTCCTCACAACAGTTCCCTTTTGTTTAAGTTTTCTTTTCTGCATCTGCCTTCCAATAGATCCAGGAGCAAGAAAGGAAAGGAACAGAAAACTAATCAAATATTGCAACCGAAAGGGCTTTTTGCTGAAAGTTATTTGGTGCTAAGGTCAGGCTCTGTCCTGATGGTTTGGAAGGTAACAGTGAGGCCACAGATCTGTTGCCTTTACCTGCCCAAGAGCAACCAGCTCTCCAAGAGAATGGCTTAGTTCTTGCAATTGCTCAGCTTTTCTTCCCACTGCTCTGACTGCCAGCAAAGGTGCTAACTCCTGCTGGCTGTGGGGGTGAGAATAGTGTCCACAGAGGCAGTGGATGCAGCCTGGCAGAGTCCCTGCACAGAGCACAGAGGGCAGCCAGAAAATGGTAACAATGATGTTTGTGATCCTGCTATGCTGATTCCAAGTGAGGGCTGTAGGGCAGACCAAAGTCTTCCTGCACTGGCCAAAGGAGATTTGTTATCTGTACAATGAATGTGGAGAAAAGATAGCCCTGAAAGTGAATCGTGGAGGATGTTAAAGCAGAGTGCCAGCTGCTGTTTGGAGACTGTGCCATGAGTCTCCTGTATAGCAAAGCCATAAAGAAAATCCTAGGCTTGTTAGGGTCTCATCTAACCCTCAGATATATTTCTCCATGGCACAGGATCTCGCAGTCATGCTCAAAGAGCTTGGGAGCAGGGGGTTTCTTACAGAATAGAGGGAGAGATTCACTACAGAAGGGGTGAAAGTCAGGTGCAGAGGAGAAAACAAAGTAGGAAAAACAGCTAACATAAAAGAAGACATTGGCATCAGCTTTTATAATGCCAGTTGTAGAAGGACTCTGTGCATGTCCAGTTTTGAGTCAGTTTGTCACAACTTAGTTGCTTTGCATTGTTCTGATGGGACATCCTTTAGTGACACCCTCACATTTTTGAATGCTAGGACTTCAGCCTTTTTATTCCATCACATTATTCTTTTCTCACTCCTCACTGCAGCAGATTCTGACACATGAACTTGGCCCTCATATGCTTTAGGAGCTCTGAGAATCTCTCATTCTTTCTAGAAGATAACTCACTGAAGAGATGAACTACCTAAAGCATAAAGAAATGAAGAAACTGCCCAAAGTCTAAGATCATCAGATATGCTTGTTATATCTCTGGTCTGTTATCCCTGATCTGTAATTTGACCTACAGTTGTAATTTGAATGACTTTTTTTTTTTAGGCATCTTTCCATATCCTGATTTCCAAATTGTCATTTTTTTACGAGTGAACTACAGAAATTGACTTACTGCTGCTTTTAAAAACATCAGAGGGCTAAAAAATAGTATATTTTTGTTTGGCATAACATTTTCTTCTACTTGACTTTTCTTATTTTCCTTGAATTTCCTTGGACTGGAAAATAGATGCCATAAAGGGATAAAATGACACCAAATGAATTTTGAGGAACATCAGAAGATGAGGTGCTACATCAAAATGCAATTGAACCTGAAACATTTTCTATTTGTTTTACTGATCTGCTGACAATCATGGGAAAGGAGAGTTTGAAAAGGTTTTTGTATCTTCAGAAAACTTTACACCAGCAACTAACTGTAGAGAGAAGTTGAAAGATTAACAGTACTAACTCCTGGGAAAGGGGGAAAAAATGTTGAATTTATACACCATATCTTAATGGAAAATATTTTAGAAGAAAACAAACTTGGCTTCTAGTGAATAAACTGAAGATATTGCAGAGTCAAGTTAGAGGTTTCTGTCAGAAATTTCATTTGTGGAACTTGCAGAAATGAGCTGAGGACTCTGTCCAGCAGAAAGCGTAAAAGTAACCTAGACTAAAAATAGAACTGCACCTACTGGAGCCGAAGTCAGACCTGGATGGATCACTGCCATCTTGCAAAGAAGAAATGGAATGGGTACAAAACCAATTAGCCCTGCCCTGCACAGCTCTGAACACCTGCCAAACACGCAGTCCTACTTCATCACTCAGTGCTGAATTTTCTCATGCTTCTGCATGTGTGATACCAAATGGTTGCCAGAGGAAACTAATGCTGCTGCCAAAAGGAAACAAAACTTACGTGTTTATATAATTTTGGCTTTTTTCTTCACTTCTTTGCTAGTAGATTCCCCCCCTGGCCCATGTACATACAAACAGAGGAGAGCTTGGGCACACATTATTCCTGTTTCCCCTGGGTGTATGAAGTGGACTTTTAGTTTTAGTCTCCAACCTACCACAGAATTGTCGGTGAAGGCATCAGGGTTATTCTCATAAATGAACTTCTCCACTCTCAGCTGGCGTAATTTAAACATCTTGGATCCTTTGTTAGTGAGGAGAGAAAGCTCTTCTAGCATCACATCTCTGGGGGTGCTGATCTTCTTCCCCAGGTTCAGCTTGGAGGCCTCTTGTGGCATGACTACAAAACATATGCAATGAAACACTTTAGGCAGTGCTCAGGGTCATGTCTCTTGTCTACTGCTTCCTAGCACCGGTAGTTACTTCATAGCACCCAGTTTCTTTTCTACATTGAGTTTTTAGGAAATTAGTTATGCACCAAGCTTTTACAATGATGATACTTTGGATATTGGTGGTTGGATTTTACTCTGGTTTGCAATCAAGGCAAATCTGCAGAGACAAGTTGCATAGGGGTGGAGCTAGGTGGATGTGTCCCACACCTGAAGCACCTCAGTCAGTGCAGCAGGATTCCTTAGTATTGCCTTAAAATGCACCACTGCCTTGTCTGCATACTGCCCTACATTTGCCTTTCCTCTGGAATTAGATGAGTGTCAGTCAGCTCTTCAGATTGGGCTGACATGTAGTAAATAAAGAGAATTCTGGTGTGCTGTGGTTTAAACATTATCCTGGAGCTATGGCAAAATTCAATGTTATTGTGTCTGTATGTTTATTTGTTTTAAGAAGAATTTTTGAAGGGGGAAGTAGTTGAAATTCTCTTCAAGTCTTAATACACTGGTTACTCAGTCCTTTTCCATTTAATTTGGTACCACCCATTCACCATCAAAGCAATAGATTCAAACATTTCCAGTGTAAAAATCTTGCAGAAATTCAGCTTTTCATTCAAACACATTCATCTTTTCCTAGAGTTTCTTTTTTTTTCCTGTATTAAGCAAGGTTAAGACCAGTTATTCCACTTTACTTCTCATTTACAACAGAGCATGAATCTCCATCCTTAAATTGGTATTAAATTGGTATAAAACCCATTCATTTTATTAGACACCCTGTGAAGAATTCATTTTTAAAAAAAGCCAATTTTATATAGCACTGTTTCATGCATGGAGGAAATGCCTTTTAACTGAAAATTGGATTTTTACTTGCTTGTTTTGGATTAGGGGCAAACAGAAAATATATACCTGTACCATATGAAAGAAGTTTCTACAGCCATTTGGGGGGCTGAAGAAAGGGACAGCACTGAATTGTTACTTTTTCAACCCCCTAACAACCTTCCCCATGCTGCCAAAAGTAAAGAGAGTACAAGGACATTACCATTATTTAAGAGCCACCCAACCCAACACACAGGTATTCTGTAGAAGGAAAAATGACCCAGGTTATATTCAGCCTGCTCTAAGAGACTTTGTCTTTTTCAGCTAATGAGTGCTGGAATCAAAGGAATTCTCTCACACAGAGGGAAAACAAATCAGACACAAAGGCTGTAAGAGAGAGAGCAACATAGAATATAACTAGGCACTGCAATATTGATACTGCAAAAGATCATGTTGTCTTTTCATTCATACTGGTGTGCATCTAAATTAAAGCTGCAGGAGAATATGGGTTTGCAGAGTGTAATCTAGGTCAACATTTGACCTGAGTGTGTGCAATGCTTTGCAACTGTAAGATAGAAAATGTGATGTGGCTTTAGTAATACTTGTGGCTCTGCCTCCTGGTGTGTTCACTGCATGTCTTGCTTTGGGAGTTCAGTCAGACAAGGTGTGAAGTTTTAAAGACTGAAATTCAGGTTGAAATCCAAACAATTCTTACATGTGCAGTTTTGCATATCTTACCTTCGTGTGTCAGCTTCCCAATGAGTTTAGTGGGCTTTTTCCTTTTAACAGGAGCAGGAGTCCCTGCAAGGGGCATTCCCACATAGGGTTCTCTGCTTTGCTCTAAACACACAAGGAAATGGAGAATGAAACACTGGAAAGGTATTTCTTGCCTCTCCTTTAGTTGCCATCTACAGGTAAAAGATACACAGCCTTCATTTCAAACACAGGTTCTTTTCTATCCCTTCCACCTGATGGAGACAGTGACTGGTATCATCCCATACAGAATGTCATCAGCAGGTCGTGGTGATGTTCTCTGGAGGCTTAGCATTATGACACAAAATATGGTATCAGGTCACAGCAGAAGCATTGCCAAGGTGCCATTTAGCATTGTCATCCAAAGGAGGCATTTTAATTGCAATGTGGCAGCCTCCCAGAATCCATATGTGCCACAAGAGTACTCTGTTATCAGCTTGTGCTGCAGTAACAGAATGTCACTTTGAAAATTTGCTCCATGTTACAATGTTATAATACCATACAGGTATCATTCCGTGGTAATACATATTTTTGTATAAATATATCAGTTCTGTCTATGAGTTATTTGGGAGCACTTTGAATAATGTGAAAGTTTGGTTTGGATATTTAGATAGCCCTGTTAGAACAGGTATTCCTGCAAGTTCGGAAGAAAAAAAAAAGAAAAAAAACTCCAAAACTCTAAAGTAGTTCTGTTTTTTTATGACTGCTACTGTCTTGTTACAGAAGGGTTGGAGGAAGAAGGCACAGGAAAACTTGTTAAAGTTGTTCATCCAATTTGTTTGAAGTCACTTGCATCTACATCTACATGTGTTTACTTTATCCCACATCATTTTGGAAGGGAAAAGAGAAGAGGGAGATTTCTTCTAGTACAGTGTTCCCCATCTCTGTTCCTAGATAGGATAAGAGATCTTTACTGCAAAGTCAGGGAAAATCAGAAGAAATCTCAGCAATTCCATTTCAGGAAGCTTCTCAGAGTCTCTTTTGGGGGTTATCACACATAATGTAAGCAGGGCAAATGTCTTGCCTTCACTTCAATACTGTCCATGCCCAAACAACAGCATATAGGGGACAGATCCTCATCTAATACTATACAGTACAATACAAACAAAAATGAGCACAGATGCATTGGCTTCAGCACCATCAACAACTAACCACCTCTGTGATTTTTTGTAGCTTAGTTGCTTAAAATTTCAGAACTGAGGACATTGAACTATGAGTTATTTTTTAAAACCAGCGAACGAACAGCTGGAACTAGGAGTTTGTGCACTGCCCTTGTTGTGATCAAGAGATTTTTATCTCCTATGCATTCTGCAGTTTCATTCCACCATTGCTTCTTTTGCAACATGGTTTTCATGTGATGAGGTGGTGATAACTGCTAAAAGAAGTCCAATCACATCGGGAAATACTCTCTTGGATTAGTTTTTTGCTCAGTTTTCCAAGCTTTTCCTTTTACTGAGATGCTGACTATGTAGTTCACATCACAAATGAGGCCATCCTGGGGTATTCCCAAAGCAAGCGTGAGCAGGTGCAGCCATAAAGCACGCTCTGCACATTCTCCTCGAGCAGCCAGACATCTGCTTGGCTATATAAAAGAAGCAGGCCCTGCTTGACAGGAAAGGGGCAACACTGCCAGGAGACAGCGGGGGTGGGAGGTTATGGCCCATCTGATGGGTCCTAAGACTATCAAAACAGAGGGAAATCACTTGTATGCCCCAAATTGAACTCCCTGGTGGGGAGCTTTGCTCCTCTAACACACCCATACCCAAGAAGCAGTGAAGACAAGCCCATCCCATTCTGCTGTCCTTTGCTAATCCAGCAGGACTGAGGAGTGAAAAACCTGCAGCATGCAATTGGTCTAGCATAAGGAAAGGAGCAGCATTCTCTCACTATGGACAGGGTCCAGAGCTACACTGGTACTACTGCTCCTTGAGCCCTCCCACCACAGGAGGCTGCTGGAACCTCAGTCCCCATCCTCCCCACAATCTCATACATAAACTGGGGCCACAGTTATCCTTTTCTTCCTGAGCTATATCCCTTGGTTTAATTCCTCTGTCTTTTTCTGTATGAGTCTTTGCAGCAGTCATTTCCTCGGTTTTGCTGCAAACCTAACCAGTCTTTACCGTCTCTAGCACCTGCTCAACACTATTTTGCTGCCCAGTAAACTCACCTCAAGCTTGCAGTGCCAGGCTCAGACCAGCTCACACACCTGCCCCAGAGCTCTGCAGTGGGTTGCTTCCTCCCAGCCCGGCTCTGGGTGCTGCTGGGGAGGCTTGTCCAGCAGCCCCACTCACCCAGGGTGCCTGGGTGCAGGCAAAGCTCTGCCCAGCACAAAGTGCTGATGCAAAGTGCTGTGAATTTGACTCCTGAAGGCTGCTCACACAGGCATCCTGCAGTTATTAATAGCCAATGGCCCAGGGGGCAGAGTCTCAGATAGCACCACTGCCATCCCTGAGGAGAGGGGAGAGGAAAGGTTGCTCCTTGGGCTGCCTGCAGTCACTGCCTCAGTTCCCAGGAAGACCAGGCACTCCATAGGTGCCTCACTTCTTCCTCCTCTCTGTTCAATTAAGCATCCTGTTCTCCTTCCTCCTCCTATTGCTTTTAAATGCAATTCATAAAACCTCAATATCCTGTTTGTCAGTAATGTCTCAAAAGCTGCCTTGTGTCTTACATGTTTTCCACCCTTCTGCCCCTTCCTCAATCATTCAGCCCAGTGTCCTCTAGGCTGTCATACACAATTCCTAAAATGCTTCAGAAAACACAAAAGCAAAATAAATGTATGCATGAAACAAGAAGTAGTAGGAAAACCACAAGTCAAGAAAGCCATTTACAGAATTCTAGGAAGTAGCCATGTAATGTGCATGGGAAACCCAGCTGAATCAAATAGCATGGAAACTAATTTCCTGACTGATGACAGAAATGGGGCTGATTGCCTGCATGTGGTGCAGCTTTGCACATGAAAATTACTCTTTTTAGCTCCTGTTCATTGTGAGGTGACTCCCTGTTTTTCCTGCCTACCCTGTTGGGTTCTGGTTCTAGGATGAAGGGAACGTATCTCATTTTACTGGATTACTCAAAATGCATACACCTTCCAGCTTCTGAATAAAGCAGAAATCCTCCAGAAAACATTGTCTTCCTATTTCACATTAGATCAAAACTAATTTGTCCACTGAATAATCCTAGAGTCTAGTGGAGGGGGGGGGGGGAACTCAAACAAAACACAATAGTGATTGTAGTAGAAAATCATCTGCACAGTGAATTGCAAATGAAGTTGATATAAAGGAACACCAGGAGACAGCCACTTTCCTTTTTTTTCCCTAGATTTTACTGTTGGTTTTGTCCACACCAAATGCATACAAAACTTCCCAGTGTGATAAGTGGGTTGAAAGCACAGTGTTAACCCCCAGTACTGTTTGGAAGGGCTTGTAGAAGACTGCTGTAACATACCTATGGGCAATAATCAGTCTTTATACCCTGCTTCAAATCAGGCCACATATGGCAATCTCCTGGCCTAAAGTTTCCCATTTCCCTCTTGTTCACATCCATATAACCACTATGTATACATTACATTGTGACTGTTGCACAGCTCTACTTCTTCCTCATTCATATGTGCTGTACCACCATGATGTAAACTTTCCACTATCTAAAAGAGTGCTGAGCCCTGCACTGAGCCCAGCTGATACACCAGAATGATGTCCAGCCCAGATCCCGCCCTCACTCTCCCATGTCAGTGATTTGGGAGTAACTCCCTGGAGCAGTGCCAGAGTAAAACAGGTGCAGGGGATAGCACAATTGAACTGTAAACACCCACGGCCTCCTCCGGGCACCATCACAGAGCTTCACGCCTGGTGAAGGCATTTACATCTGCACAAAGCTGGAGGGTGTCAAATGCTACTGTCACAACTGACCATCTGTCCACACATCACACCCACTCTGCACAAGTCCAGGTGGTCACAGAGGACCAGGTCTCTTGGTGTTGGCCATGCCCTGCTCACTGCAGGTTATACAAGGAGGAGTCTTAATTAATTCTCTTGGACTGGTTTAGCACCATGCTGGGCATTTGGCCAGAATGCCCAGTGCCTACTGTGATGTCCAGTTGTGTTTTTTGAGATGCTTCTCCCTTCTTTAAGTTCCCTGTGTTCTAAATCCTATTGATCAAAGGATCACTGCCTGTCACAGGGTGATGGCATGTGGGGGGACATAGTGAGGACAGACACAATGTGCTGCTGTATTGCTTAAAATCACCAGCACTTTGCCTTTCCTCTCCCAAAGGCATGAGGTACAGTTTCCTCTTAATTTTAAGACGTTTCTACCTCCATCTTGATAATAATTTAAGAAATGAATGTGATTTATATTATCAGGTGAGAAGCTGAGAAATGCAGGTACCACTACATGGCACCTTCTTGTAGTAACTAGACTGATGCTAAACTCTATCCTCTCTCTACTTGCTTCCAGCAGCTGTTTTCAGACCAATTTATAGCTGCTGTATTATTTCTCCAGTTATCTCCTGTGCCTTCCTGAGCACAAATTACACCTTAGGGGAACAGTTTGTGCCAGCTGAATATCATGTGGAAACCTGCTGGATTTTGAGGCATGGTGTAGCTCCAAAAGATGATGTAGCAGGGAAATATGTGGTTGCTCTTCCCTACCACAAACATGACCTGGTGCTCCTCTGCTTCCTCCCACCCCAGGCAGCTGCAGGGAGACAGGAGCTGAGCAGGCTGGAAGGGAGGAGAGTGCCCCATGGCTAGCTGCTAATTGGAACTGGGCAGGAAATGGATGTGAGCCCTCTTATAAAACTCAAGAGATACTAGGGAAAAGCAACAGCAAGATGAAGAGGAGGTACATCTAGCATGGTGTGTGAGGATCTCAACCAGGATATGAGCAGGCATGCCCTGCAACTAGGCTCAGGAACAAGGCACTGTCAGCAGTTTAGGGTGAGCCAACTCCAGGGGACAAGCGTCCCCTGTGGATCCCCAGCCCTAAGGGCAAGAGGCAAGCAGGGTTAGGGGCAAGGCCAATTCCAGCTTCAGGGAGTGATGGGAACCGTGGTCTGATGGGAACAAAACACTGTATGCTTAGTCAAGGTCTCATATGAGATGCAGGCTGGGGGGGCAAGGAACTAGAAATGAGATACATTGAGCAGGCATCTGAAGCAAAGGAAGCAAGGAGTAGAGAGTACAGGGCAGGATCTTTATCCAGGGCTCAGAAATAGCATCTGAAAGGTGAAATGATCAAATGGGAAGATTACTTTATTTCCTAGAAGATGGTGGATAATATTTAGGTTCCTAGACCAATCATCAGACTCCTCAGAATCTCCTCAGCAAAATTGAAGATTTAGACCAGTCTCTTAGCCAGGCTTTTCTGTGCTGTTGTCCCTGTGGCTGTTGTCAGGCTAAAATTCTGAAGACACCTTGGCCACCTCCACTTTCCATAACCCTGATTCAGTGCCCAATAAAGTCCCGTTCCGTCCTTGCAACCCTGATCCTCCAGAGGTTGTTTTCATCTGCATGTGCATATATACACACACTGGGTGGAACACAGGACCTAAGAGTGCATCTGGAGTGTACTGCACAGAGCCTGAGCCTTGAACCTAGAAGGAATGCAAGAGAGTGTTTATCCTATTAGTATGGCACCAGGATTTATAGGGTGATTTGTATAAAGCAGTTTTGTGTCTGACACTTATGCACCAAGACACATCTTTAACTGAGATTCTTATTTCCTGCTCCACCTTCAAATAAAATGTGTCTTTATTTTCAGTTACCAGGCTGAGAACTAAATCCTGTCCCTTTCTCCTCTCTTTACACAGTTTCTCTCAAGAGATAGGAATGGCTAATTCACCAGTCTAGAAATGTCAGTTGTGGGACTAGCAGAGACTTCACTTGTGTCCTCCACAGTGCCAGGTTCAACAGCTCGGTAGCTTTTTGCACTTGGAATATTGTACCAGTCCACTATCTCTGCCATAAGTAATGAGAGGAACTCAGCATGGAGAAGAAGGTGTCTGTTATCTTACTGTTATAGGTTATCTTACTGTTATCTTACCCAGTCATGCTACTCAATGCTAAGAGTTTTAAATAACTACAAGCCTTGTTTGATGAGCTGGTTTAGTTTTGGTTGGGGCAGGGGGTTTACCTAGAGTGTGGTAAGGTTTGATGGCTAAATTCAATCTTCAACCCAATTTCAAATGGTCTAACTTCAAATTGTTGATGTCTACAAAATCTTTTCAAGAGCAGCAGATGAGATCTGCCTTGTTACACTGTGCTAGATGGACACAAGGAGTAGTTCAGACAGGTGTCATCAGCAGGGCTGTCTCCTGAGCATATTTTGATCCTGTGGAAGTCTGGCAAACAGCATCAGTCCTCATGATTTTAATTTCCCAAAGATAGAGAATTAAACCTTGTCTCTGTTCCCCTTTTTCCCTGGTGCCTGGGACTGATCTGTGCTGAAAGTATTCATAAACAGCAGATTCCAACTGGATTCAATCTGTTCTGAAAAAAAAAAAAGTGGCAAAAGTCTTGATTTGGCTTTTTTTCCCTGTTGTTCGTTGTTTGATTTATTTTTTTGTTCTGTTTTTTTTTTTTATTTTTTGGGGGGATAGGGGCTGGAGGTTTCTTTTGTGTGGTTTGTTTCATTGTTAATTTTGAAATACATCAGATATCATATTTGTTATTTAAAATTTTTTAACATGCTTTCATTTCTTCCACATTTACACAGACATCAGGAAGACTTGTCAGGAGGTTGTAGCACCCAGGTAGGAGAAACAGTTAATGCCAGGCTCCCTCTTGCCACTAAGGGGTCTTAATGCATGAAGGGATGTAGGACTGGGACAGAAATATGTACGATTTGGTCACAGAGCTGGAGTGTGTGTTGAAATAGCTGGCATGCCCCTGGTGTGTTACTTGCTGGGCAGCCTGTTTGCCTGCATGACCCACATGCTACCACCCAGGAATCCCCTCCAAGCTGCAGCAAAACTTGCTGCCAAAACTCCCTGGTATGAGGCTGACCTTCTCCTCTGGTATGTGGGACTGAGCAACACCATATGTGAACGTCAAAAGAGGATAGATTAGTAAGAAAGGATTTCCTAAGATTTTAAACCCTCCAGACTTAGCACAACGTCAGGCGAATGCCAAACCTCCGGGTAACTCAGAGAAGAACAGTGGCAACATCTAGTGGCCGTTGAAGCTATCGGTCTGTTCTGTCGGGGAAGACCTTGTCTTTCCTACACACCACTTGCTCTGTTGTGCACTTGGCTGGACATTCTCTTTCCATCGGGTACGATTGTTTGTGGACAGATATCCCAACTAGGCACTTCACTATTTTCTAGTTTTAAACTGCTC